AAAAAAAAAAAGGAACAAAAAAAAAAAAAAAAAAAAAGAAAGGAAAAAAAAAAAAAAAAAAAGAGAAGGAACATTGCGGGGGGTTCGAACCAGCCCCCCCCGCCCCGTGTCCAATGAGGGGAGGGTTCGAACTGGCCTCCCTCCTCCCACTAATAGAACCCTTTTAGTGCTCGATCAAGCTCGAATGTAATCCTACTGTAATTGGATCCGCAACGAATAGCATCCTAGTGGGGCTCGGTCCTCTGATAGAATCGGACTATAGCAGGACCCAACTTTACTTGGATCCTACTAAAACTCGATCCAGCACTCATGGACTAATACTTTGGCTGGATTAACTAACAACATCCCAGTCGGTCTCGACCCAGCTCTGATGTAACCCTCGTGCAACTGCATCCAGCTCCAATCAAATCCTACTAGGGCTCGATCCAGCACTTCTACTATCCTACCATAGCTAGATCAAGCTCCAACTGAATCCTACCAAGGATCGACCCAGCTCTACGGGAGTCTTACTCGGGCTCCATCCAGCCTTCATCGCATACTACTAGGGCTCGACCGTCGTCTTCGTCGCTGCCAAACGGCCCTGGCCGACTCTTCGCCGTCGTCCGTGACACTGGGGGGGAGGGTGTGGCCCGGTCGAGAACCCCCCCCCTTGCAATTCCCCCCGCCCCCTGGTTCGACCCCCGCCCCTTGCAGCTCAGGGACCTCCCCCGTTTCGAATCCCAGGCATCCACAGAACGCGCTCTTTCGTACATGGAGAGAAAAAAAAAAGATATAGAGAGAGAGAGATAGGGAGAGAAAGAGAGCGAGAGAGAGAGATGTGGCACACAGGCACACATGCACACACACGCGCACCGCATAGATTCACCACATCCTCTGCAAAATATGCTATGCGCGCGCACTCGTTTATTGCAAATCATCAATGTTCAAGAATCGCTTACACAAATATACGAAATGCGCACACGCGCATCGCCGCGGGCGTGTTCCGAAATCTTTCAAAAGCCGTGGGTTACGAAGGGATTTCAAAATCGAGCGTCCCGAGAACATCTGAAACCACATGGCTTCGCAACGAGAATGTGCCCAAAAAGCTGGCGCTCGCGCTCATGCAGATTCTTAAGGAAACCATCGTTTCCCAACATTTTCAGGGCATGTTACCAAACTGGCCTCTCGCGCGCACGCCGGAATCGCTCGAACGCGCTTGCACGCGCTCTGTCGCAAAATTCTTGTACAACACAAATAGGAAGAAATGTGCGCGTGCACGTCGTCGCGCGCATGCCAAAATCCTTCAACAACAACCTTAGCTTTCGTAGAGAATTTTGAGATCAAGTCTCTCGAATACATATACAAACCACATGGTTTCGCAACTCGAGCTTTCAAAAAAGCCTGCGCCCGCGCTCATGCAGATCCTTCGGGAAACTATGGGTTGCCAGCATTTTCAGAACATGCTACCAAACGGGCCTCTCGCGCGCGCATGTCGAAATCGCTCGAACGCGTCTGCACGTGCTCTGTCGCAATATTCCTGTACAAACAAAATGAAACGAAATGCGCGCGTGCGCGTCGTCGCGCGCGAATGCCGAAATCCTTCAACAAATACCTTCGTTATCGTGGGGATTTCGAAACCAAGTCTCTCGAATACATCTACAAACCGCATGATTTCGCAACTCGAACGTTCAAAGAAAGCCTGCGCCCGCGCTCCTGCATATCCTTCGGGAAACTATGGGTTGCCAACATTGCAGAACATGCTACCAAACGGGCCTCTCGCGCGCGCATGCCGAAATCACTCGAACGCGCTTGCGCGCGTGCTGCCACACGAATCCCTTGCAGACAACGGGACGAACTGCGTACGCGCGCGTCGTCACGCGCGTGCGCCGAAATCTTTTAACAAACTCAGGTTTCGTACGGAACTCAAAATCGAGTGTCCCGAAAACAGAGAAAAAGCATGGCCTTGCAACATCAGTTGTCAAACGAAAAACCTGCGCTCGCGGACTTGCGAATTCTCCAGAAGAAATAATGGTTTACAACATTTTGGTTCAATTCAGCCAAACGGGCCTCCCGCGCCGCATGTCGAAATCACTGGAACACCCTTGCAAGTGCGTATGTGTATGTATGTATGCATGTATGTATGTATGTATGTATGTATGTATGTATGTATATACCTATACGACCACCCTTCGGGTGATAAGGAGGTTCGGGGGGGGGGGAACCAACGTCCTCACGTCGAATCGCTCACTCACTCTATCGATCTCACTATCACTCTCAGTATCGATCCTGCGCTCGATCGATCTCCTCGATCGATCTCATATCGATCTCCTCGATCTATCGATCTCTCGATCTCACTCGATCAATCATCATCCATCACATCGTCCTCATCTCCTCAGCATCATCATCATCTCAGCATTCACCATCATCATCATCATCTCATCTCATCAGCTCATCATCATCATCATCATCATCATCAGCATCAGCATCGCATCAGCATCATCAGCATCATCATCATCATCTGCACCATCATCCACGCAATAACATTCAATACATCATCATCATCAGCATCACCATCATCATCATCATCATCATCATCATCATCATCATCTCATCATCTCATCATCATCATCATCATCATCATCATCATCATCATCATCATCATCATCATCATCATCATCATCATCGCGGGACACCGCGGGACACCGCGGGACACCGGCGGGACACCGCGGGGCACCGCGGGACACCGCGGGACACCGCGGGACACCGGCGGGACACCGCGGGCCACCGGCCGACCGGAAGGGAGACATTTGGTCCGGCCGCGCTTCAGCCACACGGGACACCAGCGGGACACCGGCGGGACACCGCGGGCCACCGGCCGCCCGGAAAAGGGAGACATTTGGTCCGGCCCGCGCCTCAGCCACAGGAGAACTTCTTCTCGCGCCTCCCACCGCAGCTTCGAGCGTACCCCGCCACGCAACGGCACGCCACTAACACGGGCACCGAAATCGGATTCCCGTATGGGGGCTCTCCCTTCAACTTCGATCTCACCCCCCTCACCTCCGATATATATATATATATATATATATATATATATATATGTGTATACATCTCAGAGTGAGGGGGCCGAAAAATCATTCACTGTCCCTGGGTGCCTGGCAGAAGTGGGATTCCGCGATGCGGATTATTGTTGCTGCAGTTGTTGATGTTGCTGTTTTTGTTGCTGTTGTTGCTTTTGTTGTTGCTGCTGCTGTTGTCGTCGTCGTAGTTGTCATCGTCATCGTCGTCGTCGTCGTCGTGGTGGTGGTGGTGGTGGTGGTGGTTGTTGTTGTTGTGATGTTGTTATGTTGTTATGCTCTTATGTTGTTGTTAGTGTTGATGTTCTGTTGTTGCTGTTGCTGTTGTTGGTTGTTGCTTGTTGCTGGCGTTTGGCGTCGTCCCCCCCGCGACCCGGCCCGCGACCCTGCCGCGACCCGCCTCGCGACCCGCCCGCGACCCACCCCACGACCCACCCGCGACTCGACCCACCCGCGACCTAACCGCGAACCACCCGCGACCCAGCCGCGACCCAGCCGCGACCTACCCCGCGACCCACCCACATTGCTTTAACGAAAAATCGGCGCCTGTAGCGGGCTCGTTGCACAATTCATAAAAACTAGGCGCCTGCGGCGGGCTGTGTCAGAGCCTCGCAGACTGCCGACGTCCCCGCCGCTCCCTCACTCTTATCCGCGATTGCGGTTTGCTACATACATATATATATATACACATACCTATAATTATATTTATATATGTGCACATTTGTATATATATATATATGTATATATGTATGTGTATATATTAGATAGACTATATTTGTATGCATACGTATACAGGCATGTATGCATGTGTGTATGTATATATGTATGTATGTGGGCAGGTAGGTAGGTAAGTCGGTATGTGTATACACATGCATACACTTATTTATTCATTCATTCATTCATATATATATATATATATATATATCGGGTGGCCTCTTGGGACCCGCTGGACCACTTGGGCTGTCCTCGGGGGTCGGCGGAAACATGCATAGTTTCCCCGCTGATGGGCCGCGAGCTGTGGACCGAGCTGCGCAGTGACGCTTCTTCGGCGACTGGTGATGCCTGCAAGGATCGCCTCCTGGCGATGCCCCTTGCCTGGTCTCCCCCGGCCAGACCGAGATCTGGCCATCGCTCGGACGTCCATTTCCTGTGTTATTTTTTCGGTTTCGTGCGTGGTTTTTTCGCCAAATGATCAAGGATGCTCCTCAAGGGTCCTCGCCGAAGGAAAAATGCACACGTCCGAGCGATGCCAAGAGATGCGCCCAGTGAGCGCCCAAGAGGCTCGCGCACCTCGTCCCGGCCCGCGCCCGACAGCGAGCCGCAGAGCCCGGACGGGAGCCCCCGCATCCCCCGGGCGGCGCGCCAGCTGTGGCCTCCGCCGCAGGTGGCGCCGCCTCCCTCCGCTCGAGTCACGGGGGTGGCCTTCGCCTGGCCATCGCTCGGACGTCCATTTCCTGTGTTATTTTTTCGGTTTCGTGCGTGGTTTTTTCGCCAAATGATCGAGGATGCTCCTCAAGGGCCGTCGCCGAAGGGAAAATGCACACGTCCGAGCGATACCAAGTCGCTGGATCCCTCGCCGGACCCCCTCGCCTGAGACCCTCCGCGGCCCCTTCGCGGCAGCAGGCGAGGGCGCGAGCAGGAGCAGGGAGCGCGTCGAGGACGCCGGCCTCGCCCTCTTGCGTCTCGCCCAGGGGGGGCTCGTGGACTGGATCAGCCCCCCGCGGTTTTCGCGGCGGCCAAGGAGCCCTGGGCTGGTCCGGCCCAGGCCCCCTGCTGACAATTTTGTTATACAGCCGCACTGCCCCGGGACCGATATGAGATGACAAACGTCCTCCTCCGCCTCCACCCCTCCTCCATACCATCCTGTACGAACGCCGAGTGCGCCAGCCTGGAATTCTACAGCGTGCGGATTGCACCACTGAGTGAACCGAACTCTAAGCCGCTGGCAGTCATCAGGTGTCGTGAACAAGCCGAAGTTGTACGCCTGCGACGTGCACCCGTGGTCGTTCGACACCAGCTCCACGCCAACCCCCTGTCGCGAGGGCAGCTTCCGACAAGAACACCAAACTTACAGCCCGTGGCTGGGAGAACGTTTTTTCGTGTATATATATATATATATATATAGATGTATATAGGTATATGTTATTTTCTATCTAAAAGAAAAAAAGCTTGATCCGCCAACGTGCCTCCTGGCACGCTGAGGCGTGCCAGGATTGCCGAATGCTGTCGTCTGCTGCACCCCCTCCTCCACCCCTCTCCCCCTCCTCCCCCTCCCCCTCTCCTCCTCCCCTCCTCCTCCTTCTCCTCCTCCCTCCTCCTCCTCCTCCTCCTCCTCCTCCTCCTCCTCCTCCTCCCCTACTCCTCCTCCTCTCCTCCTCCTCCTCCTCCTCTCCTCTCCTCCTCCTCCTCCTCCTCTCCCCTCTCTCCTCTCTCCTCCCCTCCTCCTCCTCCTCTCCTCCTCATCCTCCTCCCCCCCCCCCTCTCCTCCTCCCACCTCCTCCTTCCTCCTCCTCCTCCGCCTCCTCCTCCTCCCTCCTCTCCTCCTCTCCTCCTCTCCTCCTCTATCCTCCTCCTCTTCCTTCCTCCCTCTCCTCCTCCTCTTCCTCTCCTCCTCCTCCTCCTCCTCCTCTCTCCTCCTCCTCCTCCCCCTCCTCCTCCTCCTCCTCCTCCTCCTCCTCCTCCTCCTCCTCCTCCTCCCCTTCCGCGGGGCTGCTGGGCGCCCCGTCGCACTCCTGGAGCTCCACAGGACGCCCAGAAGGCCGAAGGTGACCTCCCAGACGGCCCCGGCAGGCCACCCAGGCCGCCAGGATGGCCCAAAGATCGCCCCAAGACGCATCCAAGAGAGCCCTTCGGAGGCACCCAGTGGGTCCCAAACGGCCTCCAAGATGCCCCAAGACACCGCCAGGACGCTCTCCAGGAAGCCATCGAGAAGTCCAAATCATTGAGCGTGTTTGAATGTTTCGGTATGTCTCGTAATTGGTGCTCTTGAGGCGAAGGCCGGCCCACTTCCGGTCTTGGGCGACCCCACAGGTTTCAACGAGGAGAGCCCCAAGACGGCTCAGAGCGGCCCAATAGAGAGCCCTAAGCTGGCCCAACGGGCCCCAAGACGGGCCGACAGGGCCCCGAGATCGGCAGAAGATGGCTCGAAGACTGCTCCACAGAAGCCCACGACGGCCCCAGTACGCCCTACGAGAACTGCTCCAGGAGGAGGGCAAGGAGGAGAGGGAGGAGGAGGAGGAGGAGGAGGAGGAGGAGGAGGAGGGAGGAGGAGAGGAGGATGGAGGAGGAGGAGGAGGAGGAGGAGGAGGAGGAGGAGGAAGGAGGAGGAGAGGAGGAGGAGGAGGAGGAGGAGAGGAGGAGGAGGAGGAGGAGGAGGAGGAGGAGGAGGAGGAGGAGGAGGAGGAGGAGGAGGAGAGAGGAGGAGGAGGAGGAGGAGGAGGAGGAGGAGGAGGAGGAGGAGGAGAGGAGAGAGGAGGAGGAGGAGGAGGAGGAGGAGGAGGAGGAGGAGGAGGAGGAGGGAGGAGGAGGAGGAGGAGGAGGAGGGAGGAGGGGAGGAGGAGGAGGAGGAGGAGGAGGAGGAGGAGGAGGAGGAGGAGGAGGAGGAGGAGGAGGAGGAGGAGGAGGAGGAGGAGGAGGAGAGGAGGAGGAGGAGGAGGAGGAGGAGGAGAGGAGGAGTAGAGAGGAGGAGGAGGAGGAGGAGGAGGAGGAGGAGGAGGAGGAGGAGGAGGAGGAGGAGGAGGAGGAGAGGCGTCACACGTGACGGCATTGCGGGCGGCACCCGAAGGGCCGGCACACGACGAGTCTCTTGCCGGCACGGCGGCGGGGCCGCCCAGAGGCAGCCGGACACTGCCAGATATGCATCGCTCGTCGGTCGCGGGGGAACAGCGCTGCGCAGAGCAGTGCCATCGCTGGGCTGGGAGAGCACTCGCGGCTCGCGTGCTGCAGCACGTGCAGGAGTCCATGGGCAGTGATTGGCAAGACTTGTGCTGGTGCAGAGTCGAAGCGCACGGGTGGGACCATCACTGTTGTCCGTCGGCCGTGCCAAGCAAGAACCCGACAATCAGCTGGGCCGGGAGAAAAACACCGCGAGGGGACGACGAGGGGGAGAGAAGTCAGCAGACGAGGATAACTGCGCAAAGGATGCGGCCCCTCCTCCTCCTCCTCCTCCTCCTCCTCCTCCTCCTCCTCCTCCTCCTCCTCCTCCTCCTCGAGGCACGATCCCAGAGCTCCCAGACCCCGTGGATGCCCGCCCCGAGGCAGCCCCCCCATGCGGCGGCGGACCATATATCGCCTTCCCCCGACGGCCGTGGGACTCTCCTGAGGCAGCGCCAGAGGCCCCCCCTCCCCCCCTCGGGTCCCCTCTTCCTCCATCTCTGCTGCTGATCCTCCTCCTCCTCCTCCTCCTCCTCCTCCTTCCTCCTCTTCTCCCCTTTCCCTCCCCAGGAGCTCTCCAACAATCCTGTGGGATCCCAAACATAATGTTGAAACAAATGATGAAAACAATGTAGCACCTCCTATGGCCAACCACTGACACTTGGTGTATTCCGGCTTCAATCACTTGCTCGATTGCTCGATTGCAATATTCACTCGCACGCGCGCCTTGCAGCGTGCGAGCAAGGGAGCTAGAGTTCAAGATTACGTAGGTGTTTTTCACACACTTGGGGGGGGGGGCAACGATTGTACCCGCAAGACAGCCCGACGACAACAGCAGACAGCGCCCTCAAAATCAGGCCGAACGGGCTCTCAAGAGGCCACCCTCAGGAGCACTCCAGCAGCCCCGCAGAAGCCCAGAGGCAACTGCTGAAACATGGCAGAAAGAACATGTGCTCTGCGGCATTACCAATTCATGGGCGACGACTGCTTCTGGCTGGTCAGTGGACGGGCTTTGGATGGCTCCGGGCTGCTCCGGATGGCCTCCCAGCGGAACAGGATGCCAGCGTCTGTGACGCCACATCTTGGGGCCCTCTTGGCTCCCCACAACCTTGAGGATGCACCCGACAAGTCTTGCCCTTGCACCCAACAAGATGGCCCCCCAAGAGGGCTCCAAATCTACACCCTGCGAAATGCTTTAGAAAGCATGGGTTAAGAAATTCATAGTCTCAGAACTTGAGCAAAAACCCAGAACGTCTGTTCAAATCTTAAGATTTACACTGAAACATTAAGAATCATCGAGACTCTGGCCGGAAACGTGGGTTTTCTTAAGCATCGCCTAGAGTGTAGGGGAACTGGGATCTCTGCAGAAACAGAACACTTCGGAGCTCCGCGCGGACTTCTTCGATCGACGCTGGGCCCCCCCCTCCCCGGCGCGCAGAGCGCGCCACGGGCGGCGCCGCCAGGGGGGCCCAGCGCCGATCGAAGGAATCCGCGCGGAGCTCCGGATGTTCATGCTTGCGTTTCTCTTGCTCCTCGACAGAGCCCCCGAGCAAAACCCTTGACGGCCCAACGTTCGCCTGAGATGGCTCCACGACGGGCCCAAGATGGGCTTGGGCATGTTGCACGAGCGCCCCCTCCCCCCAACGTCGGCGGCGCGCACAGGGGGTGGAGGGAGGGGGGAGGGCCTCTTAGGAGCAGGCTGCTTCTCAGAAGGCGCCGGCCCGGCGTCTATGGAGAAAGGGCGGCGCCTTCTGAGAAGCAGGGGTGCCTCTAAGAAGCCCTCGCCTCTCACCCCACCCCCCTCTGCGAGTGGCGGACAAGTTCCCCAGGCCGTCCCCGAAGGACCTCCTGGAGCCCACCCCTAAGAGACCCCAGAGAGGGAAGAGGGGCCCCAGGAGGCAGCGCGACCTGCCACGCGGCGCAACCTGCTGCACGGGCAGCTTCCACGACCGCGTTGGTGATCAGCAAGTCTTGGCGGCGCGCACAAGGGGGTAGGGGGAGGGGGGAAGGCTTCTCAGAAGGAGGCTGCTTCTTAGAAGGCGCCGGCCTTACATCTACAAAGAAGGCCCGCACCTTCTAAGAAGCAGGGGTGCTTCTAAGAAGCCTTCTCCCCTCCCCCTACCCCCTTCTGCGCATGGCCAGAAGTCGCGGGAACGCGACTGGGCATCCGGACTTCACGACTCAAGGGGGGGGGAGGGGCCCGGCAGGGGGGCTGATTTGGGGGGGGGAGGGGCTGACTTGGGGGGGGGGGAGGGGCCCGACTTGGGGGGGGGAGGGGCCTGACTTGGGGGGGGGGGGGCCTGATTTGACCCGCCTTGTGGGAGGACTCTGCGGGGGGGTCTGGGCAGATGGCCGCCCGGCCATGGCCATGGCTGGCCCGGGAGGGGTCCAGGATTGCCCGTCTGGGAGGGCGGTGACGTCCCCTCCCCACTGTTGCCTTGAAGAAGTCTGGAGTGCGTGTGCAGCTGACCCCGCAGTCGTGGGTAGGAGCTCGGGGGTCCGGCCATGGGGACCGAGCGGGACGGGGCAGGTGCAGGTGCAGGGGCTCGCACCTGCCGCGCCCCGTGCCCATGTGGAACCGCCCAGGGCCTCTCACTGGCTGGGCCGGTTTTCGAATCTGAGCAGATGTCGCTTCTCCTCCCGTCTCCTGGCACGTCCTGCTGCTCGTCCTCCTCTGGTGAACTGGTGAGCTGCTGGCGTGCACAGCTGCGATGAACAAAGAACATGCGTTAAGGGGAAGCACGGCATCCAGAATAGGCTGCTGACTTCGTCCTCCTGCGTCTCTCCTGCTGCTGCTGCTGCTGTTGCTTCTCCTTGTCCTCCACCAGAGAGATGAGAGACAGGCGGGGGGTTCGCCGTAATCGGCGCAGTTGTAGTGCTCGCTGGCGCAGCCTGGCTCGGCGGCAAAGCGCCATCGCCTACGCTGGCGAGGTCTTCTTCTTCTTCGTCTTCGTCGTCGTCGTCGTCCTCCTCCTCCTCCTCCTCCTTCTACGCCTCCTCTTCCTCCGTCTCCTGCCCCTCTACTCCCCACCCCCTCCTCCTCGTCCTCCACCCTCCCCCTCATCCGCCGACCAGCCTCGTCTTGCTCCTGGAAGAAGAAACAACTGCATATACGTAAACTTTCGGAAGTCCGCCCGGATGTCTTGGATCGGCATTGGACCCAACTCCGTGGCGCGCCAGGGGCGGCGCCAGAACGGCCGCTGGGGGGGCCAAGCCGCAGATCAACGAAGTCCGCGCAGAGCTCCGAACGTTTACGTTTATGCACTTTTCTTCTTCGAGCTCCTCCCTCCTCCCTTCACTTCCGACGTCTCGTCCTCCTCCTCGTCCTCCTCCTCCTCCTCGTCTCCTCCTCCTCCTCGTCTCCTCCTCGTCTCCTCGTGTCCTCCTCCCTCCTCCTCGTCTCCTCCTTGTCTCCTCCCTCCCTCCTCCTCGTGTCCTCCCTCTCCTCCTCCTCGTCTCCTCCTCCCTCCTCCTCTCCTCCTCCTCCTCCTCCTCCTCCTCCGCCTCGCCCTCCTCTTTCTCCTCCTCCGCCTCCTCCGCCTCGTCCTCCGCCTCCTCCGCCTCGTCCTCCGCCTCCTCCTCCTCCTCGCTCCTCGCTCCTCCCAACACCTCCTCGTCCTCCTGCCGCCGCCGCCTGGGCCCGCGTCCCTCTCGCTCGAGGCCGCCGCCGGTGCTCCGGCCGCGGGCGCCTCCCCTCCGCCCCTCTCGGAGAAGGGGGGAGGAGTGAGGAGGAGGAGGAGGAGGGGGAGGAGGAGGAGGAGGAGGGGGAGGGAGGAGGGGGAGAAAGATGAGGGGGAGGGAGGAGGAGGAGGAGGAGGAGGGGGAGGAGGAGGAGGAGTGAGGAGGAGGAGGGGGAGGCGGAGGAGGAGGGGAGGAGGGGGAGGAGGAGGAGGGGGAGGGAGGGCTCGAGCCGAACAGTGTTCTTCGTTTTCGTTGTGTTCGTTAGCGTTCTTGTCCGTTCCGTCTTCGTTCCGTCTGCGTGCTGCCTCTGGTGCGAAGCGGCATCGAAACGAGAGCGGTCCACGAGATCGCCCGAACACCGTTCAGCTCGAGCCGGGGAGAAAGAGAGAGAGAGAGAGAGAGAGAGAAAAAGAGGAAGAGATAATACAACAAAGATACCTGAAGAGAGAGAGAGAGAGAGAGAGAGAGAGAGAGAGAAGTATAGGCAACCTGCATAGTAAGGACTTGTTTCTAAGGATGCAAGGGGCCTTGGAAGGCCATGTCGATACTCTGCGGGCGGGGCGCGGCCAGGGAAAGCTCCCAATCATAGGGCGACGGGGAGGGATGCAAAGGTACCCTTTGAAAAATAGCTCGTCCTTACTATGCGGGTCGACTGAACCCGGAGAGAGAGAGAGAGAGGGAGAGAAAGAGAGACGAGCTAGGTGCGCTCGCCCCACATCTGGCATCACATCCCTCCCTCCCATCCCTTCCCAATGCGCTGATTTTCTCTCTCCATCCGCGGACGCGTGTCATAGTCGACCTGGAACTCCACAAAGACCCCATCGTGTTATGCGCAGTCGGCAAAGGGAAACCTGTGGGACCTGTGCGACCTGAGGGACCTCTGTGGTCTGTGGGGCCTGTGGGACCTGCGGGACCTGTGGGACCTGTGGGAATTGTGGGGCCTGTGGGAGCTGTTGGACCTATGGCACCGGCGGGACCCGTGGGACCCGTGGGGCCCGTGAGACATGCGACATCCCTGGGACCTGTGGGACCTGCGGGACTTGTTCGGACCTATGGGACCTGCGGGGCCTGCGACACCCGTGGTACCCGTGGGACCTGTGGAACGATGTGCGACACCTCTGGGTCCTGCGGCCTGGGGGGCCCGCGAGACCCGCGAGACCTGCGGGATCCAGGAAAGTGGCCCCCGCTGGGGCGGGAGCGCTCTTCTGAGCGACGGGAGCACAGCGCCGACCCAAAAGTGAGGCCCACGCTGCAGCGGGAGTCCCATTCCGAAAAACCAAAGACAATCGGACTGTACAACATCATCACGATAAGAACAAGTTTGAAGTCCTGTGTGTGAGAAAACCATGTGCGGAGGGAGCGGGACATTTTCCGCACATCTTCAGGGGAGAGAGGAGAAGTATTCATATTGTGTGAGTGTAGAGAGAGAGAGAGAGAGAGAGAGAGAGAGAGAGACAGAGGTCGAACACGAGAAAGCGAGAGAGAGAGAGAGAGAAAGCGCGAGATTATCGGAAATAGAAAGAGAGGGAGAGAGATACGGGGAACACACACAACGAAGAAAACAAGAGAGAGAGAGAGAGAAAGCAAAAGAGAGAAAGAGACAGAGGAAGAGAGAGAGAGAGAGAGATATTAACAACGAATATATATATATATATACACATAAAAAGCAGAGAGAAACAACAAAAAAGAAAGAGAAAGAGAAAGAGGGAAAGAGAGAGAGATAGAGATAGAATGAGAGAGAGAAGACCATTGGGAGGGGAAATGGGGCGAACTTTTTTAACAGAACACCGTGTGGGCGCAGAGGTAACGAACTCGTCTTCTCGCACGCCACAGACGGCAATACTCAGAAGGCCACCAAGAGCACGACTGGTCAATTGTCGGACACTCTGCCGTACTGCCGCTTCTGCGCCAGGTCAAGCAGAAGTGTCAAAGAGCCACGCATCGTCGATCTCAACATCATATCCTGTTGCTTGGGATGCAGTCTTGAGCCGACCAGCTTGAGTAAACATGGCAACGAATGACATCGGGAGGACGACGAGCAGAGCATTAGGGGCAGGAGCAAGAACTGTCCTTTACCTTCTCTGGACATCCATACTCGTCTTCCCCTTGGCACATGTCACTGCGACACACAACAGAAAGATGCTGATAAAAGGGAAGGAGGCAACAACATAAAAAACAGTGACACGCAACACCGTTGCTGCGCAGGCCCCTCACAGCCAACAAGCGTTTGAGCGTTGACATCTCAAACTGGCAACAGGCGTGCGCAACCGTTGGAAATCATGCCCAGAACACGCCTACGTACGATGTCATGGTGCTCGCCCATCTAATATCAAATCGGAACCTCGTCGGATAATGCTGAACATGCCCCCTCTTTCGGATCACAAGTGGTGGCAGCAGAAGCGCCTGGAGAAACCATCATCGGAACACGAAGGAAGATCAGCAGCAGGAGGATCGCCGGGGGGGCGACTGGGGGGGAGGAGGAAAACGAGGAGGAGGAGGAAAACGAGGAGGATGAGGAGGGGGAGGGGGAGGATGAACAGCAACAAGACAACAACATCATTACGCTCGCGTCGAGGTGTGGCCATGCTTCTCACCACACGGGGGGGGCTCCCACCACGCCCCAGGGGTGCCGAACCTTGGCCGCCGCCAGAAGATTGGCCGCCTCCCGCTTGTCGAACTTGGAGTCCCGCTCGTCCGCGGGCCTAGACTTCCTCGCAGGTGAGCGTGCCCGCCCTGCTCCTCCCCACCACTTTCTTCCTCGTTTTCGTCGTCGTCTCCATCCATGGGCATATCAATCGTCACAGGTGGGAGAACGAGGAGGGGGAGGGGAAAGAGGAGGAAGAGGAGCAGGAGGAAGAGAAGACACTGTAACTGCACGGCGTGGAAGCTGTACGAGAGAAAGCACGACGGCAACAACATGTTGAATGTACTGCTGCAGTCTCCATACACTGCACAAATTTACTTCGAAGATTGGGCCACACAGCGGCGACCCTCCTATTCGAGTCGGGACTGTGCGGGCGATCGAACAGCTCTGGCGGAGAAGAGAACCCCAAAAAAGTAGGGAACCACCGCAAGCATCACATTTTAGACTGGCTGTGTGACCTGACGGGCGCGCGACGCGGCGGGATGCAGGCTCACCCTATGTAGCGGATAGCTCGCTCGTGCTCTTGAGAACGGCACGGAAGAGCTCACTCGTGTGAGTGATGATGGTGTGAACTCACTCGTGCCGCATTGCTAATGATGTTGGTGACCTCGGACCGCATACGTGATGTCTGAACGCCTGTCCTAGGCGATGGCCTCGGGGTCGCGTGAAGGGCGACGTGGAGGTAAAGCGCTGTGACCTGGCAGGTGGGAAAGACGGTGGCGGATGGAGATAAACTTTGAGGGGTGCGCGCGCTTTTTGACGACATCGCCTCGAGGCTCACCGCGGTCGCGATCCGCGGGGGCCGCTCCGATCACGACAACGGTGGGCGACCTCCTCGCTGGGCGTGCTGGGCTCGGCACTGCCCGTGGGCGAGGGCCGCTGTGGCTCGCCGGCGCCAGCCGCGCGTAGAGCGGCACCGGCGCGCCGGCGCTTGACCTTCTACCCAGCCCTGCTGGTCTTCTTGTTCTTCTTCTTGGGATGTCGGCGGCGTCTTCTGGCGCGAGCTCCCTCTTGCTCTTGTCCGTGCTCTTGTCCGTGCTCTTGCCCTTGCCAGCTATCGCGGCGGCGTGTCATCGGCAGCCGATGGGCGCCATGGCTCCTGTCCGTCCAGAGTGGGCGCGGGCTTGACGGGCGAGGTGGCGCGCCGGTCTCCAGCCCGAGCCGTGAGCAGTGCGAGTCTCGTCGCATTCAGCCTCGCGAGAACGTGACTGGGGCTGAACCTCTGGAGAGAGGTGGCGACGAGGTGGACCGCGCGGCGCGCGCTCGCCCGGAGGTGATGGGGGGCGCGACGCGCGCGGTGACCCCGCCGCTGGCCTGTTGTGGCCGAGCGGCCTGCTCCTGGAAGAGATCCACGACGTAGATGGAGGAGGCTACGGCGGAGCACTAGCTAGGAGACTGGGTCGGGGATGCGCCGCTGCCGCGTGAACTGCGCGAGCTCTTCGTCGCTCTTGCTGAGCGGAGGGGGCTGCGCACTCTCCGCGAGTGCCGTGGCTGGCGCGTCGGGGGGCGGTGGAGCGCTCAGAGGACTCGGCGCGAATGTGGATGCCTTGCCGGTGGGCGCCAAACGAGCGTGAGACGCGACAGCCGCGTGGCGTCTTCGCGGAGACGGCAGGCGGGAGCGGGGCCGAGGAAGCTCTTGAGCCCATGATCTCGAATGACACGCCGTGCCTCGGTGGGCTGCTGCACCTGGCGCTATAACTGGCGTACTTGCGACATGCTCGGCGGAGGCGTCATCGGAGGCGTGCCAGGAGGACGGGCCATGACCAGCTGCCCCGTTGGGCCACCGCAGCTCGCCCATGTGCCAGGGGGGCGTCGGAAATCGAGCGCCTGGCGCGGCTCGACCTGTGGGTGTTGCTGCGAGTGTCACGTCGTCCGATGACGCCGCTTACTCCGTGGGTGACACAAATGACGGAGGCGCGGTCCACGGGCGACGAGGCGGCGGCGGTCCTGGGGGCCCCGGCGGCATGCTCTGAGGCGCGCTGACACGTGCGTGCGCGGCAGCGGGTGGCCGCCAGCGCGCGGCGACGTGCGCCGGGGCCCGCGCGCGGGCCCGGCGGCGCGCGGGCCGCAGACGGCGCCCCGGCGCGCCCTGGCCGGGCGGCGCACAAGCCTTCGGCCCATAATAGTAACAGCGGTGTCGTGCACGTTCATCCCTGGTCATTCTTGCTACTTCCATGTCCTGCTACCTCCACATCCGCGCTGCAGCGTGTCTGCTCAACCACCATGTGCCGCGCGGCGCCGAAAAAATAGGAGGCCGAGGGAGGGCCGATGGTTCCGATGTGGATGGAGCACAACGCAGTTCCTAGATGCATGATGCTATGCGTTACTTGTCGGAGGTCGGCTGGCGCTCGTGGCCTGCGGGCGCAGTGAGTTTACCGGCCGGCGTGAGGGTGGCCGCGTGCGGCATATGTGACCGCTGGCGAGAGCCATCAGCCACGTCGTGGAGGGCAGATCCATCTATGCTGACCTCGGTCAGTCCATCCGCGATCAGATCGCGGGTGCCCCCCCAGACCAGGGCCCCAAGTTGGCCCGGGCTCAGGAAGTCGCGGGGCCAAAACGCGCGCGGCAGTGATGGGTGTTCTGCCGGGGGCTCGGGCCTCGTAGCTGTCGCGGCTGTGGCCGCCCCCATTGAGTTGAGGCAGAGCTCAATTCGCAGCGCGAGTGGCTGCTGGCCATCTCGTTGGCGGCGCGCAGCCTCAGGGCCCCGAGGCCATGTAAGTACTTCAGTGCGTGGTGGCCAGAGCGGGGCCGTGGTCTGTTGGACTGATCGCGGCTGTCAACTCACTTGTAAAAGTGCTTCGCGCGACCGTTTTGAGCGCCCCGCACTGCCAATCCAATGGGTGACGCGTGTGCTCGCCAACGAACATTTGTTGAAAATCCGTGTTGCTGGCACCCGTGCGCAAGACCATGGCCCCTCGCAGGGCCCTTCCCGCGTCGTCGCCTTCCTGCTGTTCCTCTTCGGAATGCAGCTCCGCAGTGTATTTCGAGCGTGTGTGCGCAACGCGTGGGTGGATCATGGGTCCGAGATGGCGTGGCCTGTGCCCGTCTCACATGCGCGTTGCGCCTCCGTGTGTGGCCGCGCGTTAGCGCCGCTGCATGGCGCTGATGTGCGACTGCGCAGACGTGCATGCCGATTCGCGTGATGAGTGTGAAGGCCAGTGCCATAAGCAGGCCGAGGTACGGCTTGGCTAGTCTCTCTCAGGCGAGCTTGGAGTTGGGCATGCCAAGTGGCTCGAACAGGTTTCAGAGCCTGAATGAGTTCGATCTGGCCCAGATAATATGTTCCATTCTGTGTGGGGGAATGACGTGTCCCGCAGCGCGTGGAAGTTCCTTCGCTGACATCCAGTCCACCTTTGCCAACGGCATCCTCTTAGCATTGACGTAACTAGGTCTTGTCCTGGAACCAGCCCGCCGCCCTTGTGTTTGGCGATGAACGCGTTGTCGTGTAGTGTTGGGATGGCTTGGTGCAGTTGAACGGAGATCTGGGTGAACTGGGTGGGCCAACGTCTCGGGGCATCTTTGTGCCTGGTGCCTGGTTTCTCCGCGCGGGGAACCTCGCGTCCTGGGTCGGAATTCCGTGTTCCTATACTTTTGATGACAGGACTGCGACGGCATCAGGGGGGAGCTCGAAGTTGACCTCGCGCTCTTCCTCACCTGTCTCCTTTCGCAAGGTCCTGGTGGCTGACGCCTTTCATGAAGGCCTTCTTGGCGCCCCGCGCGTCGATCGCCCATCCTCGGCAAGCAGCCTCGGAGACAATCGCGCGCCGGGAGTCGTGACGAGGTGCCCGCGAAAGTCGCGATGAGATCGGCGTCGGCGTCCTCGAAGCCGCGGAGTGCCAGCCTCGCGCGGGTGATCCGGGCCTTCGGAGACGGGTCTGCTTTACATCGTGACCATTTCTACTTGCCCACCCGCCCGCAATCGAGGACGTTGCGCGCTCCTCGGCGAGGGCGCCGTGAAAAAGCAGTTCTGATTTACCCGTGCTTGCAGTTTCTCGCGAAGAAGATCTTGGGGGCTTCGTGGGGCAACCTGAGGCCCGATTGACGTCGGATCCACGGTGGCTTTACGTCGGACTGACTCCGGGGCATCGCCGCGCGAGCGTCAACCTCGACCCCGAGCTTACGGAACTGACAAAGTGACTAGATCATACTACTATCACGCGCCGCGCGAGGCCTCCACGATTTTCCTCATGAGATTCCTCGAGCACGGCGGCGGCGACGGCTGCGGCGTGCTCTCGAAACTGTTGGAGGATGAATAAATCAGCGTCGCGTTCGGTCGCTGCTTTCTCGGCTCCTGCCGCGCGGGCCCGGAGAAGTGACGCTTAATGACATTCGGGAACAGGGGTCGAATGTAAATCTGTGCGTCTCGTCCAGGCCCAAAATATCTGCGCGGGCGTTCCCGGCCTCGTCGGCTTCGATGGACTCTGTGGCGAGAGGTGCAGCGCCTACTGAAGTCGTGGGGGTGCTGGCGCGCCTCTGCGGACAGGGCTTGCGGCAGTGGATATGACGCAGCAGCATGGGCCTCTGTCTCTAGCACCTCCTCGAACATGACCGACTCTGTGAGCAACGCATCCTTCATGACGGCCTGTTGGTCGCGCGTCAAAGATCCACCATGTGGCGTCGATGAGGTGGTAGTCGCTCGAGGAGTCTTTGTGGGACTCATGGTGAGTCGCCTCCCGTCGTCGCGCGTGGAATCGTCGGGGCGCGTGCCGGCGCCTGAAAGATCGGCGTTGCTTCCCCTGGCGCCTGCCACTTGGGGCTCATCTTCCACCGCGTCTTCTTGGCAGCGTGCAACTACTAAGCATGAACAAAAGATAACGGATTTCTCACAATGGTCGGAACCGAGCGACAACGCTCATTAGTCCACCACCTCGAAACTCCCCCAAGTATCCACTTCGCGACGGCCCGATCGCCGCCGCGCCAGGAGTGATCAGTCTCGACTCTCTTCGGGCGCGGCGCGCTCGAGGCCGCGGCCGACGTGGGTGGCCGCGACGCTGTTGAGGTTGAAGTTTCTGGCTAAGTACTCGAGGCTCAAGGCCGCAGAGCACTTGTCGGCGGCGATGGCGGTGGCCGTGCTGGCGTCGGCAAGGCCAAAGCGATGGATCGCCTTCGCCCGCAGGCTCACGGTGTGCTGATCTACCTTCGTCCATGCCTGGCCACGGAGTGTGCTGGGTTGGCTCGCAACTCCGCGTGCCAGTCCGGCAAAGTTCACGAGCCGTCGTGCATCTCTGAGGCTGCATGTCTGTTCGGCGCCTCGGCATTTGATGGTTGCGGTGCCTTGTTGGGCGCTCATCCTGACGATCGCGGCTGGGCCGGCCCGCCCGCTCGCGTCCTTGGTGGGGGGGGGCTCGGTAGAAGTCGACCAGCTCACCTTGCTAGTAATCCAGGGCCTGCCCTGCGACTGTGGCGTTGGTCTCGAACGCTCGGTTGATGCGGGAGATGGCCGAGGCCTCTGCGATCCGTTGCAGGGCGATCTCCTTCAGCCGGTGCGACATGCGGGCCGCGCCTGCCGTGTCATCCGGGAGTGCCACAATGTTTGTCAGCGCCCGCGGATGCCGTCCGAATCGTGTGTTGCATTGCGTTGTACCTCCATCAGGTATAAGAAGTAGTTGCGTGTGAACGCAGCCTCAGACAGTGGGTCGGGCATGCTGACCACTAGTCCTTCATGCCGAAATGGCTCTTCAATGCAATGCATGGCGTGTCGTAATATGGCACCGCGTCGCTCGATCATTCGGGTGCGCTGGTCATGGGCTCGCACTCGGGCCGCGATGCCGTGTCGGTCGAAGACTGGCTTATATGCGTCACCAAGGATACCACGTTCGCCATCTACAAACAAATCTTGAATAGTTGGAAGATCGGATCCAACGCGCCAGGACTGCAGAGCACAAGCTCTCAATGGATCGGTGCCCATCATCGCTGGGGTCCTTTTCGAAAAGCTCTGCTGCGTGCCATCGGTCGGCTCTATGGGTCATGTGCCAGATCGGACATAGGCGATGAAAGAAGACGCCCTCTTCTACTTCCTGATGGGGGGCCGTGACCAGCTCGACCGAAGTTGCGACTTGTGATGCGATGGAGAGTAAGGAAAGGGGGTGGGGTGGGTGGACCTCCTCGCAAGTCGGCTTCCTCACCCTGCTCCGCCACTCGCGTGGTCTCGTTGGTTTTGCGACAAGCAACTTCGCCACAGAGTTTGGGGGGGAATTGCGACAAAAAAAGCGCGACAATGTCAAGCGATGGGCTTTCGCCTCCCAATTTCGCCCCCCACTTTCGCCTCCCACTTTCGCCTCCCGTTTTCGCCTCCCGCTTTCGCCTCGGGTTTTCGCCTCCCGCTTTCGCTTCCCTTTCGCCTCCCGCTTCCGTCTCCCGCTTTCGCCTCCCGCGTTCGCCTCCCGATGCCGCCTCCCGCTTTCTCCCCCAGAGCGGAAGTGGGGGGAGCGATAGCGAAAGCGGGAGGCGAAAGTGGGTTGCGAAAACGAAATTGGGAGGCGGAAGCGGGAGGCGAAAGTGTAACCGGGAGGCAGAAGTGGGAGGCGAACGCGAAACTTGGAGGGCGAAAGTGGGAGGCGAACGCGATGGCGGGAAGGCGAAAGCGGGGAGCGAACGTGGGAGGCGAAAACAAAAGCGGGAAGCAAAAGCGGAAGGCGAATGCGAAAGCGGGAAGCGAACGTGGGAGGCGAACGCGAAAGCGGGAAGCGACCGTAGGAGGCGAAATCGAAAGCGGGAGGCGAAGAGGGGCGAAAGCGGGAGGCGAAAACGATAGAGGGACGCGAATGTGGGAGGCGAAAGCTAAAGCGGGAGGCGAACATGGGAGGCGAAAACGAAAGCGCGAGGCGAAAGTGGGAGGCGAAAGCGAAAGCGGGAAGGCGAAAGTGGGAAGCGAAAGCGATCGCGAAAGCGGGAGGCGAAAGCAAACACGGGAGGCGCAAGCGGGAGGCGAACGCGACAGCGGGAGGCGAACGTGGGAGGCGAAAGCGAAAGCGGGACGCGAACACAACATCGGGAGGCGTAAGCGGGAGGCGAACGCGACAACGGGAGGCGAAAGTGGGAGGCGAAAGCGAAAGCGGGAGGCGAAGTGAGAGGCGAAAGCGAAAGTGGGAGGCGAACGTGGGAGGCGAAAGCGAAAGCGGGAGGCGAAAACGAATCGCTTCATATTTTCACCTTTGCTACTTGTCGCGAGTGTGTCTGCCTTGTCGTGTTTGGGTGCTTCCTTGTCGTCTTTGGGTTCTCCTTGTCGTGTGTGGGTCCTACCCTTGCCACTAGCTAGCGAAGTGAACCATCACCAACAACACCAACAACAGGAGGAAGATGACCAGACACAGGAGCAGGATCTTTAACAACAGTCGGAGCACGGGGGGAGGAAGTCCTTCAACATGTAGGCCCTAAACACTTCAATTCCCACCTTCTCCGTCTTCGATCGTGCATCCCTTATGTAGCTCCTCTTTCATGCGAATTAAAAGGTAAACCCTGACAAGGGGGCTGACAGGCTGGTCGGGTGGGTGGACCCCACAGGGCAAATCAGGCAGGCGGACATGTCGGTGGGGCGGTCCCTCACGGGCTGGACGGGCGGGCGGGACATTAAAGCGGGGAGGCGGGCTTCCAAGCAAATGTGCGGGCGATCCCAAGCAACTCGGGCGGGCGGTCCCTCCTAAGTAAATCAGGCCACCGTCCCTGATGTGCAGATCGAGCGGGTGCCTTTCAAGGGTGCGCTCATAAGCAGTGAAGCAATACCTGAACTTGCAAGGACTCGCGAAAGGATTTCCTCAGACGGGACGGTGTATTGCAACATCGTTTACGCCTACTGGGCTTACCCCGTTATGCATCCTCCTCGTCCTCTTAATCCTCCTCCCCTCCTTCTTAGAATATGCGCAACACAAGCGCAGCAATCAAACATGCACAACAAGCATTTATGTGTCCACGCCATGCAACGCATGATTGCGTTGCCTCTGCATCGCACGGACTGCTGCAAGAAAAGCGCATGCACACGCAAACCAGCACCTTCCGTAAAGGCTGGGGCTCGAGTTCAAGGACGCTTGGCCATGCACAAGACTCAAGCAGAACAGAAGCGCACAGCCACAGCTTGAGAACTCCCTGATTTCATCACCTCTCCCTTCCCCCACTGTCCCTCCTCAAAGTAGAGCAACCAGCGGCAGAAACATTCACTTTCGGAGTTCCGCGCGGATTTCGTGGATCTGCTCTGGACCCACCCTGGCGCGCGGAACGCTCCAGAGAAGGCGCCAGAGGCGCCGCTAGGGCCGATTCAAAAACATTCGCGCGGAGCTAGGACACATGATGTTTATACAATTGCTTGTTCTTCGATCTCAGGCCGACCCCGGCCCCTCCTCTTCCCCAACAGCGTTGCTTTTGCTGCGTCGCTGGGGGGGAACACAGCGGCCCAAAAGGGGGCGACCCTGGAGGAGAAAGTGCCCGACGGCAGGGCGACACGTGGAGGAGCAACAGGAGGAAACGAGAAAAAGAGAGAGAGAGAGAGAGTGGACGAAAGCAAGGAAGAGCATCGGGCACGACGGAGTCGTCTTCGACCTCAGCCTCCTCCCCCTCCCCCTTCTCCTTCTCTTCCTCCTCCTCTTCCTCTTCTTCGTCCTCCTCCTCTCGTTAGCACCGCGGAACACACAAAGAAAGAGACAGCTCCTCCAATCGTGTCGCCGGGGATCGCGCGCAGCCGCCCATCTGCGCTCGCAGCTGGCGTACAGGTCGCCGTAGACGTCCTGGGGAAGGGGGGGATGAGAAGGCAAGGGGGAGGAGGGGGAGGGAAACATGAGATGGGGAGGAGAGAAAAAAGAAGAAAGAGAAAGGAGGAATATGAGGATTACGCTGTGAATGTTCAGCCAATGCTAACGCCGTGACTGGAAATCTGTGCAGAAATATCCAAGGGTCTTTTCACCTCAACGGTTGATGTGTGGTGAAATGCTGCTCGCGTGCGCAGACGCGCGAAGCTGCCACTGCGTGAATTTCGGGGACGTTCCTCAACCAATGCCCCCCGCATTCGCGTGTAAATGAAACCTTGCGTCCGCGTGACAACCGGGCAAAAAGAACCTGGCATTCCTGTACCTTCGTTGCACCATGCAACGCGGAGGACCTGCCTGCAAACTGCACCTTCGCTCTCTCGCGCCACTTCGCCATGTAGTTGCTGCCGCTACGCCCGTTCTCGCGCGAGCGGTTCCCCAATCGATCCTCGCTGCGAAGGATTTCTTTCTTTGCCTTCGCCACGCACGCATGACCTCTTTCGCGGTAGTGCGCTGCACCGACGCAGCGGCGTTTCTTGCACATGCTGCTTATTAACAAAAGACCGATCCGTTTGGTGGGAATCGGGCTGGTTGTTCGCTGGCTTCTTGCTGAACTAATTTCAGATTCTGGCTCCTTCTTGCAAAGCTTGTGGCCGCTGTCGCGCGGCCGTAGTCATTAACGACGTGTGCCTCTGCCTTGACCTCAGCCGTGCTGCCACTGCTTGCCTTCTCGCTGGATCTTTGTCCCGCCTTTGCTGCCATTGCACTCTGTCTCCTTCTCCCTCTCTCCCTCGCACGAGCTGATCTTGGTGGTCTCCAAACCAGGTGGTGAGACACCTGGTGGTGACCCTGATTCCCCCAAAAAGTAATTCTGGGTCACCACCGGGTTTGGGGACACGCGGTCGCCACGAGGTTTTGCGTTTCCTGGGCCAGCCAACGTTCGAAAAACATTACCCAAATCGCCCAAAACTCACCACCGGGTGTTCTCACCACCACGTTTGGGGACCACCAGTGATCCCTAGCTGCTAGTTTGGCCGGAGTGGCATCAAAAGCTTCGCTTCGACCCCCTTTTGCCCACGCGCCCGCCCGACTCCGCTCCCCGCGCCGCCCGCCCGAAACCGCCGCACCTGCGGCCTCCTCTCGCACGTCGCTGCCCTGGGCAGGACTAGGAGGATCAACTGGTCCTCCTCGTCCTCGTCCTCGTCCTCGTCCTCGTCCTCCTCCTCCTCGTCCTCCTCCTCCTCCTCCTCCTCCTCCTCCTCCTCCTCCTCCTCCTCCTCCTCCTCCCCCCCCTCCTCCTCTCTCTCCTCCTTCCTCCTCCTCCTCGGGGGGGAGGGGCGGAAGGGCTGTAGGGGGGATCTATCCCCCCTACAGCCCTCCTGACTAGGAGGGGCACGATCCCCCCTTCGCCTCAAGCCGACTGACTGACGGCCTCTCTTCTGCTGCTGCTGCCTCCCGCCCCCCAGGAAATCCTGTGCACTGGGGGCGGAGGCGCTCGAACGGGGGGGGATCACGCACTGGAAAACAGTGAGAAGGAGGAGGAGGAGGAGGAGGAGGAGGAGGAGGAGGAGGAGGAGGAGATTCGATTCGATTCGCACACCTTCGGCGCCAGCATCGTTTCCGCCCGAATGGGTTCTCCGGCACTCGAACTTTTGCCAAATCGTGCAATCGTGAGCCGCGATGTGTCACGCGACTCCGAATGGCTTCTGGCACGGTGAACCTCTAGCTTTAAGTGGAAGGTGCATATGCCATGCTCTATGCACCAAGGTCGCAGCTGAGGTCCCGAGCAGGACCAGCCTGACCCAGGCAGCCACCGACGCATGAGGTAGCCACGAGGGACCAGAGCAACTAGGAGGCAGCTCGAAATCTGTTGTTATCAAATATGTCTGCTCTTAAAACGTGTCTCGAATGTGAAGGCCCCGGGGAAAATCACACGCGGGGCGAACTGCTCCGTGACTATATGGGCATCCGAGGGAGGCGCGGCAGGATCAGAAACCTGTAAAACGGGGGCAGCCTCAGGCGTTTTCAGCTCAGGAAGAGGAGGCGGTAGGTCATCAGCAGCAGCAGACGAGCCTGACATATCCTCCGTCCTGCTCTGCAAGGGACTCCCACGCTGTGCCTGGGTCAACGGGACAGGTAAATGAAGGGCCCGCAGGTCATCACCAAACATTCGTCTCCGTCGTGTCCATCTCTGGGGGGAGTCACTTCAGGAACGTTTCGAGACACTGCTGGATCTCACTCTCCACATGCGCTGCTGGAGCTCGGCCGTGCTTCCTTTCGACGCCTGGTATCTGCATGATCGAGCCCGACCAGTACATTGCGAAACTGGGGGTCTCGACAAGAGATCGTCAAGCGGCGGTGCTCCTTCTGATATACTTTGTCTTGGCGGCAGATACGACGAGCTCGGATTTCGTGTCGGCTGAACACTCGTTGTATTCGCTGTAAACTTTCTGTAGCTGAGTTTCGCCTGAGTTGCGCTGTGGGCTCCGGCCGCCTCGCCAACGGACACCAGGCCCTGTAGCAATCCTCCCATCGTCCAATTGGCCGGAGGCCCCAACTCGTGATCTTTCCAATATGTCTTGACCTGCGCCGCGTATAGACGTTGGTTCGCTCATCATTGTCATCAGCACGCAAGTGGCTGGGATAAGAAGAGTGTCGAGTACGACCCCTGCGAGGTCGCGCTCTTTTTGGCTTACTTTCAAGAGCTGTTTCATAAGTAGGCAGGACAACTTGCGAGTGTGATCGTACATTTTTTAAAGCGGCCAAAGTATCTGCTGCGCTGCCTTGTCCGCCGGTTTTCTTCTTCGGGTCCTTGCTGTTGCCGTACGCCATGTCGGGAACAGCTGGGGCCTATGTGGACCCTTCGGGCGCCGTGGAACAAGCTGGCATGATGTAGCCGAGGTAGAGGGCGAGGTTGGTGAGATTCACGGAGATGCCGAAAAATAGAAGTCTCGAATCAAACACTACGGAGGGCTCAGGGCTTACCGGGCATTTCCATTAATCTAGATGTTTGG